TCTCTCTCACATCGATGTTTCTCTCTCTCTCCCTTCCACTCTCTCTAAAAATCAAAGGAAAAAATATCCTCAGGTGAGGATTAACAACAACAAAAGTCTCAATGGGCCACTTAACTAGGTTTGGGAGACACACAAAGGTGGAGACAGGGTTCAAACCCGCAGGCCTTATAATCTACTTGGGGAGAATGGACATCCTCAAACTGGGGTAAATAACATGACAAGCAAAGAATGTTACACAGAGCTCACCGGAATAGTTCGTTCTGTCTGCACTAGGGTCTGGGCACCAAGTTACTTCCTACTGAACATACGAAGTGAGTGTGAGGCTGAATTCTTACCCCCATTCTGAATACACTTAATACGCTTACGTATCGGAGTGAGAAGTCTTTCAAAATATTCATCTTATTCAAGAGCCAACATGCAGGGGCTGTGCTGGGCTAAGCTGGGAGCTTCTGCACAAACTGAGGCTGGAGACGGACTCAGTAGGATTTCATGCTCGTCAGCGGTGGGAAAGGTCCAAAACGCAGCCGGTGGGCTCTACGCACTGCTTTGGGGGGGCTCCAGTCTTGAGCCTGCGCTCATATCCCGCAGGCTTTGTCCTCTACTCACAGCTCTAGAGACACTCCTTAGACTTTGTATCAGGTACGAATTCTTTTCTAAAAATAATCCTTATGAATTTATTTGAAAAGATACATACTTTCATTCAGAGAGAGCTGCTCTTTCTGAAGTTCAGACATGCCCATGTTGAACATACTTACTTCCCACATGCAGATTCTAGAAAAAACACAGATTGTGCTTCACTTACTGCTCCTTCAGGGATGCATATGGCTTTGATGGTTCCTTGGGGTTTGCTAAGTGCATCCTGAAGAAATCCAACCTCTGTGTTTCTGAACAAATCACTGATATCTACAATCTGGAAAATGGGTTAAAAAAAAAAGGGTAACCAAACAGTTTACAAACAAGATTTCAGAAAAGAAAGCAGATCTTGTTAACATCTATAGAGTGCATTCACAGAGTGGTTCCCATGGGCTGGGCACTATATGGCATGTGTTAATGTACTTTTTATTAGTATTAATTCATCTCATCCGCCAAACAAGAGTATGAGGGAGGCACTCCTATTATCTCCATGTGGAAGCCAAGGCCCAGAGAAGGCAATAACTTGCCCAAGAGCACACAGCTAGTAAGTGGCAGAGCCAGAATTGAAGCAGTATGACTTGAGAACCACTATTTCATATTCCAAACGAAGAAACTAGGAGGTAAGCTGGCAGCTGTGAGCAGGCAGTTAGGACTCTCTATGTATTAAATGTTTTCATTCTAAGAGTTGAGCATTGCCCACTCATAAATCAGGCAGAACTCAATTTCTAAGGCATCTGCACTGAAAACAGATCCAGTAATATCACCAGCATCACACAGACAAAGGGCTATTGCTCTCTAAGAGCAAATAATAAGAGGCTCACCAATGCAAACTGCTCCATGTAAATTCTACCCTTACCCTTAGTTAAATATGTATTGACCTTAATGATTTGAATAAATGTTTCCATATGTTTGAACTCTTTAAAGACCATGGAAAAATAATAAGTAACTCTTAATAAGTAACTCTTCCAAGTACCATTTTAGCTTAAGAAAAATTGAAGAGGAAAGAACAGGGCTTCCTCCCATCCCCCTTTCAAGTTACCATTTGTGTCCATACGATTAATAACTTGTCAGTAAAACAAACTTTGTAGCAAGAACCTTGCTCTTTGGAAATGGGTTTTGGAATACAGTAGATAGAAAAAGTATTGTAATGCTAACATGCTATTATTCTCTCTTGCTATAGCTCCAAAACATCAAAGGTAACAAGCTAAGGTAACAACAAAAAATATGATACAACAATGTGTATAACTGGTTGTAGATTTCAAAGTGGTTCAAAAGACTGCGGGACTATATGGGACTATATTTGGGGGCAGAGACCTGGAAAACTGAAGAGTTAGTACCTTCATCCCAAAGCGAGTGTCGGGTTTATCAGTTCCATAGCTGGCCAAAGCCTCAGCAAAAGTCATAGAAGGAAAAGGGATCCCCACAGGACCTTTGTCATTAGGCCACGAATACTGGAGCAGACCCTCAATTAGACTCTGGATCCCAGTCTGGTCTACAAAAGACATCTCTATGTCAATCTGAAACCAAATAACATATGAAAACGAACTTGAACAGCTGCAATATTACTATGTACATATTTATACATTTCTCTGGTATTAAGTTACCACAGGATTCTGGACATAGATACTTAATACCTGGGGGGAATAAGTATTATTGTACATCTGTATTAGCTGTGCTAATGCTTTACATACATCATCAACTTCTTTAGTTCACATGACTACCCATGGCCCATGGCTCAGCGCAGCTAAGTCACTTGCCCATGTATGTGTAGCTAGTAAGTAGTAAACCTACACTTAAGCCCAGGTCTGCCCATCTTTAAAGCCTATGATTTTTGTGCTTCATCACACTGATTCATATGCTATCAAACAGAAACCGAATCATAACAGGTCTGATGAGTCCCCAGACTAGACAGGTTAAATATCTACGTACGGAACTGTTAGTTCTTAATGTATAAGAGATGTTTTAAGAATTTTATCATGACCACGAAAACGCTGTAGGGATCGCGGGCGTCCCTTAGTTGGTGGCCAAAATCCTTATAAAAAGGACACATGAAATAGGTCAAAATTAAATAATTAATGCTTAACTGCAGGCCAGATTCACTAAACGTCTGATGGATAAAATGTAATAAAGAGTCTATGTGATTACTGTCCTGGTCTGGAAACACTTGGCTGTAGCGAGGCTGCATGAATACCTGCGTAAACTCTGGCTGTCTGTCTGGTCTCGAGCCTTCATCTCGATAACATCTGGCAACCTGAAAATATCTACAATTGAAAAATAGCATTAACTGAGTTATGATTCTAGTAAGACATACACACGTTTCCCCCAAAATTCATGGCAATGCAGGCTATCAGATAATTAATAATAATACCTAAAGGGCATATAAGAAATTTTAAAATTCTTTATGATGCTCTAATCTCATTAGATAACATAGCTGACCCATGAGAACTGAGCCATACATTGCTTTAGAAATATACAATGGAACCTCTGGATATTCATTTATTAGACTGGCACACAGGGCGGTCCGTGCTTCTTCATGCAGACTCTTTGGCTTTGGCCAAACTGAAGTACTTGTTGCCCATGGATACACACAGCTTTCCCGTGCTAATTCAACTCTCACCTCCATCTGCTGGAATGCAGCTCTGTCCCAGGAGGCCCAGCTCATGAAGCTTTTTACCCTGCAACTCTCCACATACTTACTTTTGGTTTACATCACAGGTGGTTTTATTTAGTACCCTACTTCATCTGACTAGATTCATTAACTCCTTGAGAGCAAAACCTATTCTTTTTTGTTGTGAATCCCCTGCCACACTTACTACCATAGAGCCCTACACACAGTGGCTGCCCAATAAATCTTTACTAAGGAATGACTACAGATTTTTTGGGTATTTTGCACACATCTTCCGAACTCGCATACATTTTCTAACCTTCTTTTAAGAGCTCAGGCACATTTTCCCTTCCACGTTTTTCCTTTCCTGACAACTACTAGCATAAAGAAAGCTCACCTGTCTAAACCACCAACCATCAGAAGTTGCTTAAATTGTTGTGGACTCTGAGGGAGAGAATAGAACTTTCCAGGTTCCCTGGATGGTATTACAAACTCTTTTGCACCCTTTTAACGAGAAAGAGAGGGGGAGAGAGAGAAGACATTGTTAAAAAAACAAACCCAAGAATTTTGGGTGCACCCAAAGCAGTAGGTGTGACTTCTGCGCAGCCCTAAGTCCTATTTTCTCTCCTAGATCCAGGGACCAGGGATGGTGGAACCCCAACTCGGAGTTCCTAAGACCCTGCTCGAGGGGCTGCCCTGGGAGGGCTGGGCCAGGCCATCCTGCCCACTGCAGGTGAGAAGGAGGGCTCAGGGTCAAGTGTCCACCTTAGCTGAGGGAGGCATACACAGCTGGGGGTTTGGGTGAGTTGGGGTGCAGGGCAGTGGCCTTGGAAATAGGATCCACTCACATCCCCAGAGAGCAAATGAATGTGAGCAGGTGGGATTCAGACAGGGCTTTGCCTCTTGGCACTTCTGCATCACTGGCAATTTTCTCAGTTCTTAAGAAAATCTAGCTAATATGACCATCTTGAGGCAGTAAAATAAGTAAAAGAAATACAACCATGTGAATATAAATGCAAAGTGGTTTAGTTTTCTAACTAATAGGGCATTGGTAGGCTGATACATACCCCTGGAGTCCTCTTAAACAATGTTGGTGTTTCTACATCCACAAACCCTAAAAATAGAGAAATGTTTGAATTTAATAGATAGGAACCTGTCAAATATGATGTCTATGGTACAGTCTACAAATCCGAGGCTGCCCTTAATTAGGAATTTTGACTGAAACAAGTCACCAAGCCCACTGATGCTGGTGTCTACAAACTCAAAAAGAAAGCTGAAGATTTTCATAAAATCCTAATTTGTTCATAAAGTTGATACTTTTGTCATGAAATAATTCTAACTACTCAATGGATCCTTGTCTACTGAACTGTTCTGGGTTTTTAAATATTCTGCTAGTGTAGCAAAAATAACAAAATATAGTAGGAAAAACCCCCAGGACTGATTAAAGAGTTGAATTCAATTCCCATGACATTTCTGAGCTCACAACAAATGATCTTTAAGCATGATAAAGAATTTTAAAACTTACAGATACAACAACCAAAGGGCTGTCTGACCTTCAGTAGTGATGGGAAATACTTAACAGGCACTGTCACCTTTAAAAGGCTGTATTTATGACCCAGTAGGGAACTAAATTATGCTCTGAGTTACTAAATTATGCTCTAGGACAAAACACCTTGAAACTAAACTTAGAAAACTGCCTTACACATTAAGCGAATTTCAGACCTCTGGCAACAGCTGACCCAATGACGCTAAGGGGACGATACAGTAAAACTGCTGAATAAAACAGAATAAATGCTAAAAAGCTCCCAAGAAGACACAGGCGTCTCCCTTACCATGCAGATTACAGAGATATTCCCGCATCTTCATGACCATCTGGGACCTCAGCCGCAGGTTATACTGCATTTGGAAACTACGCAAGTCCAAGTAGCGATACTGCAAACGCAGAGCCTCTGTTTTCTAAGCAAATCGAAATATTTTTATGTTGAAATATTTTTTCTACTATGAAGAAGATATTAACTTTAGAGACAGTTTGAATTTTCAAAAACTTGAGCTCTATCTTTAGATTCCGCCATTTGAGTCTACACCTCCATCCTTAATTCCTACCGCTTCTAAGTTTGTTACTGGTACAGATTTTACATTTTTTACTATTCATGATGATCGATATGACCCTTCACTGACTGAAATTTGCCTACCATACTAAACATTTATCCATTCATTTAAGCCTGTAGCTGAGTCTTGATTTCAGAGATCTTTAAAAAATATATGCCAGAGTAAAAAACTATGACTTTCTCACCTGAATGGGACTGAGAGTGTAAGAAATGCAAGGAACAGAGGGAATCTCAGTGGCAGTACCAGTGGTGAGAATGTTTCCTTATTTTCAAGGCTGTAAATCTCTTTGTGCTGACAACTTTTCACAAGTCCTTTTCCTGGTGTAGCTTATTTCTTTGATACTAGAAACAGAAGAACTAGCTGTCACTTCTCTTTCTGAAAGCTTAGCTGGGAATTTCCTTTTTTTTTTTCCCCCACAAGGCCAACTCTGTAATTATATTGCTTTTCCTAATTAATAAATTAAGTATTGGGAACTTAAATGGAAGACTAAGTGGCTTTGCAATGAATTAAAAAAATCCCTTCATAGATCAGTTTACAAACTAGGAGTATGCATGTCTACAACTATAGATAATTGTGACATAGCTGAAATCTATCTGGGTGTACATACCCAGTTCTGTCTAGCTTCATCAACCCCTCAAACATTAGTAAAGAACATCCTGAATTACAGTAATGTTTATAAGCTTGGGAAGTCAAGCCAACATTTCATCACTGTTAGAGGCTTAAACTTAATAGATGCAGGATCTCCTCTGCCATTTGGCCATGTCCAAGCTAGACATAAATTTCCTTTCAAAATGTAAAACAAAAGCAACCAAAAAAAACTTGAACACAATAACACCTCAAGTGTTAAAGACAGAGCCATGTTTCACGCAGTCTACAAAACAGTCCAGGTGCTTAGGAACTGCAACGGCTTAATGAATTGTCACTATATAAGAAGGGTACATCAAGAAATTGTAGAACAGAACAATTCATGATACATCTATAACAAAGTGCTTCATGTTGCGGAAGTTAAAGTTTTCCTTTCAAAAACTCTGAAAACACTTTGCTGGTCATTAACATTTTCCAGATACTCTATCTTATTAGTAATAGAGGATGGCACCTTCACAAAGTCCTTAATTTCAAAGGGCAGCTTCTTGCAGGGATTCAGAAGTTCAGCTGTTTTAACCTTGATTTCAATCTCACCTGTCGGCATTTTCTTAAAGAGAGAGAGAGAAAAGACCTATTTAAAAACTTACTCATCAGGACATGTACACAGTGAACATTTGTAAAATACATGATTTGTTTATATATGTAAAATGTATGGTGCTTACAGTGTGTAGTCTAAATGTCTGTGTGTGATTTTGGCTGTGGCTCACATCAGCATACCTGTGGCTGATGTGATTATTAACAAATATCTTAATGTGCATATTTATATCAGTGTGTGTGTTTATAGTGAGGATTTTGGAACCTATAGGTTCATTCGTAGAACTTACAGAGCTTTAGTGCCTGGTGTCCAATAGGTGCTCAGCCTCTGTTGCCTGAATGTGTAGACAGACAGTGCAAGTGTATACAGGTGAAATCTATATGACAGGGTCTAAACTACTAACTGGATTCTCTTGTCCTGGAGGTCGGGAAATCACTGTCCCAGATACTTGCACCACAGATTCCACCGGGGCTTCACATAAAATCTTCTTCACGGAAGCAGCCGACTACAGGAAAAGAGGGGAAAACAGTTCCAAGAAACACATGAACTTAAATGAATCTGTGCTAAATCTAGTCTATGGTTAAGAAAAATGGTAATACTCATAGAGCTTAATTTCTGTAAATACTGGGTCTGTCTTTAATGATTTTATTAAAAAATTTGGTAAATTGCATCCCCATTTTGACTCCAGTTAACACAGCAAGTCAAACTCTTAACTAAGAGTTTAAAAATGTTTTCCTTAAAGGAAACTAAGGAAAAGAATGATTAATGCAAACAAGTCCCACATATGTACTTGAAAGGCGACTGTTTCCAGGGTTAGTCTTAGGGGCAGTTAAGTCCAAAAGCAATAATGGAGTTCAAAGGTTAGCTATGCTCCTCTCTGGATCCTGAGATAATTCATTGCTCTTATTTCAAACACTAAGAGCTGAGTAAATCATATTTTTCTCAGGCAAACAAGCATTTGTAAACATTACATAGAAACCAACGCTTCCCAGCAACCATGACAAGGTTGTTTATTTTACCTAATTTTAACGGTAATTATTTCTGAGCAGGTAGTTCCCTCACACGACTCAAAAGTCAGAGGGGACAAACAGGTGAACTGTGAAAAGTCTCCCTCTTGTCCCTGTCCTCCAGCCCCTTAGTTGCTCTTCCCAGAGGTACCCAATGTTTCCAGATACTCAAGTATCCTTCCAGGGACATGTCATGAGATACACACACACACACCCTTTTAAATAAGATAATAGCATTCCACATGCCCTTCTGCATCCTGTTTTGTTTCAACTAACAACATACCTTTTTATTTTTCCCATATTAGTTCATAAAGAGCTTCTTTAATATTTTTTCTATGGCTGTCAGGATGTACATCTGTCTCAAGGTGGCTTGTATTTTTTTACTTTTCATTAACTTCTGAATTTCAAACTTCAAGCACACTTAGACCACCCTGACCACAGCATTAAAAAGGCTTTCAGTAATAGTAGGAAAGTCTTCTATTACCTCATCTTGGGGAATGAGAACTTGAACAAGCCCCTGGAAATCTCTTAGGACCAGGAAGATGTTTTGCCTAATTAATGAAGAAATGAACATATTAGGATAAAATCTCTGAGCCCAAAATTTAAGCAGGCAAAGCAAATTAAACAAAAGACCCATACAGTTTCTCACATTTATCATAATAAATAATACGTGCTTTCATTATCTACAGTCATGAAATTTTTTATGTAGCTTATTAATGAAAAAAAAAAAGACTTTTCATTTTCAATTTTTGTTGGCTATATATTCAGCTTACTAATGTTACCCAGATGGCTTATTAATGAAAAGGAAGATTTAAAAATTTTTTAAATTTTCGTTGGCTTAAGTCTAAAAGAAAATTTTATTAAATTTGGAAACTTTCCACATATTAAAATCCAAGATAATATTTTAGGATATTAAAAACATCTGATTGGACATTTTTGAAGTACAGCTATATACAGTCTTTCCTTCAAAAAAAATTCAATCTAAAATTTTCTAGAAGAGGTCCAACTACTAATTTAATATTTCTATAAACCATAAAAAGATCCCCCAAATCCCAACATTTTAGCATTCAACATACATTTCTCATACTGTGCTTAATACCAAGAAGAGGTTCAGAAAGCCTCCTCCAACTCTGAGTTGAGAAGATAAAATCAACAAATTTATGGGTCAAATGTCCATCCATTTGGGACATACTCTTTAGAAAGGTCACACAATCTCTGTATTTTGGATCTCTTCAATGTGAATTACTGTACTATCTCAGAAATGTTCTTGAATACAGAGATAAACGACAACAAAAATGGGCTCTAATCTTAAGGAATCACTGTTCTCTGCCTAAATTTAGAATAAAATAAGCTTGTTTATGCTCTTGGAGCTTACTAGCTGGCCTATTCCCAATTACTGCACCTAGGGACTGTTAAACAAAAATTTTAACTTCCATGGAGGAAAGTCTTTTTTACAAGGAAGGGCTTATTAGACCATTGTTAGCAAAAAAAGACGACTAGTCTTGGGGCACAGAGTCTAAAATCAACAGCATTGCTAGATAGAAAAGACAGCATGCTCGTCGCCCCAGAGTTTTGCAGGTGTTTTTATACGTGAATTAGGAGGAGGAAGGTGTAAGCCACTCTGAAAGAACTGACATTAGCTATAGATAAGGGGAATATGAGACAGCAAATTGGGGCTACTTGAGGGCTAGGCACAGCAGCAGATTCCGTATTGTTCCTGGGGTTTGAGAGGCCTGGCTACTCACTCTTTTTAGATAATCTCAGAGTAACCACCTGGATGTTAATTATAATTCCAAGGAGTGTGAGCAGTCTTTTGTTGGTTTTGCACTGCAGCTATTACTAACTCCTTTATCTCGTTCTTCCACCCTCTGGCCTGCTATAATTCAATTTAGGACATCTCAGAATTTTCTCCTTGTCAGTCCTCTTCAACTTTTGAAAGCCAAGGGACATTTCAGTTCACTGGTGGATCCCACTTCATTATTACACCATTCCACAGATGTTACTGGTACTTGCTGAGAGTGACACTATTTCGGTCTTTCAAAACAAAGTGGAAAATTCAATGGATTCTGAGAATCTTGAGGAGTTGCAAAGCTTTTATTCTTCTGACTGGTTGAAAATTAATAAAGATTTGAAATTGCCTTGGCAAACCAAAACCATGCATTCTTAAACTGTCTGTCTCAATTTACCTTCGGTACTGAATCCACCCACACAAGGTGACTTCTTGGCCTAAGTGAGAAGAACGCAGCTCTCCACAGGTGTTGGTCCGGGCAACAAAGCTACTGAGTTCTTAAAAAAGAAAAAAGCAAGATGAAAAATGCATCATTTCCAAACTGCTTAAAAATAAAAGACTCTCAAATTACATCACCTTAGGTATTTCATGTCAATGGATAAAATTTATAAAGTAAATCTAAGTAGGTCTTTTGAGTCAATCACTGTTAAATTTACCTGCAAATGTGTCAAGAGCCGACTGAATAATGATCACCTAGCGTTTGCATTAACCTAAAACTACCCTATTCTTGAAAGTGCACACATCTGTCCCAAATCGAATAGAATCTTAAGAATTACAAAAGTTTGATGGCGCAGTGACTAACTTTAGTGTGAATCTGGAGTGAAAGAGTCACTATGGACACTCAGAAAACACTACTCAAAGTATTCTTAAGAGTGAAAGAATGTTTTAGACTTCTCAGTAGCATCAACGAAAGGCAGAATAGCCTATCTATGTGGCTACTTTTCCAGTCGTTTTAAACTCCAGGAAAACACCCACCCACCCGCTATGTTGTAAGAAATGAAGAGGGTGAGTGACCTGCTCCTACACCTAAGCCCGCTCACGCCGTTCACACTAGCGGGGAATAGAGAGCAGGGGGCAGTGCTGTCCAGAGGACAAGGGCTCCGCTTTCACCTGGGACACTCCGCTGGGAACTCAGCCCCCGCCTTCCGGAGAGACGCCCCCAGACCGGCGGGGCGACCCTCGCGGTGGGTGGGGCTAAGCCCCGGTTTAGCCGAGTTAACCAAGAGCAGAACATGCTGGAGCCGGGACGACGAGACACGCTCACGAACACGCCGCAGGCGCCGGTTAAGTCATTCTCCGAAATGCACGCGGATCCCTCACGATGCCAGGAGCGCCCACTTTCTGCTCCAACGCGTAAGCCCTCCTCCGCTGAACATTCAAGTACACGCGTCCGGCAACTCGGCCGATCTGCACGGCCTTTGGGGCCCTTGGGGAATGGGCAGAATAAAAACGTCACCCCCCCCTCCGCGCATCCGTTTCCACTTCTAGTAACAAACGCAGCCGGAGCCAGATGTGCGAGGACGTGTCCGCACAGCAGCGCGAGGCGGGACTCCCGCGACCACGCGGCGGCGGAAGGGGCCGCTCATCCCGCGCGCGCCCTTCCCTTCAGACAGCGCTTCCCCGGAGGTTCCCGCGGCGGCCCCGGGAAACAGGGAGATCCAGCCTGGCGTTTCAAATCCCCTGGCGCCGACCTCGGATCTTCAAAATGAGGAAGAGGGTAAATCCAAAACGTTCTGAGGGGCCGAACCCACCCGCAGGTCGCCGGGGGGAACCATGCGCTCCTCCAAGCGCCCCGCGAGCCCCCGAGATTACTGTCAAGACAATCAACCAATCAGAGCGGAGGCGCCGCCGCCATGCTTAGTGCGGCCGGAAATTGGAAGGAAAGCTTCGCGCCGGTAGGAAAGGGCGGTAGAACCACTGCCCCGCTCTTAGAAAAATTGAGGGTAATGGTTGGGTCGCTCGAACGTGTGCCCTCAGTAAAAATGGCGACCTTAGTTGCTTCACGGACCTGGAATCGGCGCCCTGGAGGCTTCCGGCGTCGGGCCGCAGAGCGAGTCGGGAAACGATTTTAAACTGGGGCGGCGGCTAGCGAGTAAATTGCGGCTTTTCAGCGGCGGGATTTGGCAGCTGCCTCGGTACCCGACGCGCTCAAGTGGAGACTGCGAGGTGGGACACACTGTCCCCTGCCCATTCCCTCCGCCGGCAGAGGCAGACTCGGCAGGTGCGAGGGTCGCCGAGCTCCTGGCCGTGTCCGCGGAAGTGTCCTTCGGGGTGAAGTCGCAGGGCTCCCGCGGCTTCTACGGGAGCGGAGGTGCCCCAAGCGGGCACGTTTGTGTCCCTGGTGGACTCGTTGTCGCGGAGCGCGAGGGAATTTGGGAGGGCCAGGTGTTCTTCTGGCCTCGCCCTCGGCTGCCATTTGGGCGGCTTTTTGACTCCAGGGGATTTCAGTCTCTGCGAAGTGTTGGGCCCGGTTTTGAAGAATGATTCGTGAAGCCGGCGGGGGCGACGGCGTCATCGCGGCACTCCGTTGGTAAGATGCTTTGTATTGGTCCAGGACTGGCAGTGAACTTGGTATTTCGCCCTGCTGTGCGGTCGTTATCTTTACAGTCGTGTGTGTTCCGGTGTATTTCACTCACACGGTGTCCCCAGCACCGGGCTGAGCCCTGGCACCGGGCCGGTTAGCCTCAGGGATGGGTGGCGATGTAGAAAAGGGATTGAAGTCAGGGTTCCCTCCTTCACAGACTTAGCACGAGGAAAACAAGGAAGTTGTGTATTCTGAACTGTAAGCGCAGGAGTACTTAGCGGGAGAGCTAGCTAATTTTAAAAATTTATGAAAACATTTAGTAAATACATGTTACTTGGGTTTTAAGTTTTATTTCATATACAGTGTCAGCAGCTATATTAGTTTTAGGTGTGCAATGTAGTGATTTGACATTTGCATACTTTACAATGTGATTATCTCACCGATTCTGGTAATTATGTGTCACCCTGCAGACTTATCACAATACTATTGACTATAATCCCTTCGCCTTTTTCACCCGTCCTCCCAGCTCCTCCCCTCTGGCGTCCATCAAGTTTGATTTCTTTCTGTGAGTCTGTTTCTGTTTTGTGTATTTTGGG